TATTTCTTCTTATATAAAGACTTTAAAAGCTTTTGGGAGGAGGTAGATTGTGTTAATATCAAACGCTATAATAATTATCAATATGTATTTATATATTTCCTGTTCCATCTGTAGAGGGAAGGGAGGTAAATCAACTTTGTAAAATTATGGGTGATTACTTCTCTTAGTTATTTTAATAATCTATACAAATAAAATATTTATCTGCATTTAAACAAAATTACTTCCCAAACAAAATAAATGGCTTAATTAGTCAGTTCCTCTATTCCTATGTTTCTTAGATTGCAGTCTTATTTGTTCAAGCCTTTTATGTGAGGTACTCGGATATCTTTGTCTATTAAGTGATTTCCTTGCTTCATCTCAGTCTTGAAATAGGCTGTGTCTTTGTTCTGTTGCTAATCTTTTTCTTCCAAGAGATATTTCCATTTCACTGTTATATTAAACACATAACATTTTTAACCTAAGATATTACACAAAAAGTGATTTATATAATACCAGGAGTAATCAATGAATCATAGATACCATTGAATGCCTAAAAAATGTAAAGGGAACGGATTAATTAAATGTTTCATTGGCCTCTATTTTAGTTAATTCATTCTCCACTTTTTTGAATCTCAATACATTGTTTCAAGACTTTTGTTCCATTGTATCTCACCATAGAAAGTTTTTAACAATCAATTGCATTAATTTTTGACTGCACTGGTGCACTAATTTATATAGAAAATTAATAAACAGAATGCAATTCTTGAAGTATGATAAAATTAATAAGAACATTTCCATAGAAAATTATTCAAGGTGGTTTAACCTAAAATGTCAAAATAAAACATTTCTATTTTTATAAAAAATTTCAGTAAAATTAACCTAATTTCTTTTTGTATTTATTCAAACTTCAATTTAACTTCTTTTTTTTTTTTTTTTTTTTTTTTTTAATTCATTTCTTAAAAAAAAAATAATGGTGGTTGTATGCTACTAACAACTACAAATAATAACATTAAAAAACATTTTGATTTTTGGGATTGATTAAAATTTTGTGGAGGATAATTAAAGTAGATTTTAAGAATTGTTCTGGAACAATGGTCAAAAAAGTTAGTCCCTGATAGATATCCACATATTCTTTTGTTTTCTGAATGGCATGCCTAATTTCATGAAGAAAATAAGGTTGATTCAAAAATTTTCTTTCCTTATCACTTGTTCACTCACATTATCTCACATATAACCACAGACATAATCAAGGATTAAATAAAATATTTCTTGAATTCTATAACTTTTGATTCACCATAACAATTGAAAAAACAAACGTGCAGATAATTTTTGACTTTCCCTTGTATTATTTTAAAAAGTGAGTTGTATTTTCAAATGAATAAACAAGAAACAAATCACACTCAGCAGTGTATGTCAGTCCCTGATAATATTATACCGAGATTTCATTTTTTAATTGAGAAATCTTTCCCTATTTTTAAGGTAAATGATTTATGGTCTTTTGTAATGAAAAATTACCTTGAATCTTTTCTAGTAGTGCAGCCCACCTTATGATGAGCCATATCTTATGTGGCCCATTGGTCAAGAAAGATTTCCTATGTTTTTTTTTTTTTTTTTAGCCACCATAATTATGGATCCTATTTCAAAGTCTTATTGGTTGTTACCATTCTGGTTATATTACAGAATCTTCCATTGGCCACTGTACCAAAAGGGTGCCATTTTGGGCTCTTTGGACACTCTGATTCAGTTGCCACTCCTGCTTAGTACTGAGTATTAGAGAAAGTGAAGCAAAAAGTTTCAACAAATATTTCAAGAAATGTGTGTGTGTGTGTTTTATCCTTCTCCATGGCTTGGTGGAGATCTTGCAGCTGGATTAATATCATCTGTTTTGTTTTCCCCTATTTATTGATATTATCTATTATCATCTATTTTGATTTCTATTTGTTTTGCTTTTGAATAACTTTGCAAATAGTGCTTTCAAAATCACCATTTGTCATGCATTTATTTACTTTTTCTTTTTCTAAGACATTGAATTAAAAGAAAGAAATAATAATGTACGAGAAAGTGATGAATGTATTATTGCTTTATTCCCTCTTCATCCTCCTCCCTATCTTGATGCCATTATTTCAATTGTTTGGCATTCAACCAAATTATTACAGATAAATGAGTGCTCTTTTAAATGTTCACACAAGCATAAAAGGTGTGTTGACACATTCTTTGATGAAAGCAATGTTTTTATTATTGAAAATTATTTGTGCGTGAGAAGTACAAGTCTATTAATTGGGCTACAATAAGAATAAAGCAGTTTGGTACAATTACAAATAATTTACTGTAAAGTGTGTACACACACACACACACACATATATATATATATATATATATATATATATATATATATATATTTATTTATTCGAAAATTATAACATAAATATGTTATAAAATCAGTACAAAAATAGCCATTTTGTTTCAACACTTCTGGTGTCTTATCAAGTGATGGTGTCGAATATAGAATAATGGTTTGATTTTTTTTTTTTTTTTTTTTAACCATTATTCTATATTTAACACCATCATTGATAAGACATAAAGTGTTGGAACAAATATGATTTTGTACTGATTTTATAAATTATTTATGTTATAATTTTCATCTACTTGTATTGAGCACTCTTTTAAGAATAGCATTTGTTGGTTATTGGAATCTCTTCAGTATATATCACTCCTATAGTTGGGTACATTATATATATATATATATATATATATATATATATATATATATATATATATAGTTCAGTTCAAATTTAATTAGTTCCTGAAGGCCATTTCGTATCCCAAAATGTTCATAAACCAAAACTATTTTTCCAGTAGAAATCAATGTAGAGAAAAAAAAGTCACAGTACAATAAAATTGGAAAAGAAAAGCACAATACAACGCATGAATGTATACAACATGGCAATTGACTCGGAAATTATTCCATTTGGGTTAACTTGGTTCAGCAATATTGTTCAGGAACCAAAATTTTGTTTGATAATCAAGGCGTTTTCATCTTTAATTTTCTGTTCGAAAACCGATTTGTTTAACATGTGAGACATTCGAGAACCGAGGTTGCACTAATATATATATATATATATATGTGTGCGCACTCACATTACTTAAAACTTTATTATAGTGGATACTTTGTATTTGAAATAGACACCCTATTTATATTTATTTAATAGTGTATATTACCACTATTGGCCTGTCTCTGCATTGCATTCCACTACTTTGAACTACTGATAAAAATAGATTAATACAAATGTTAAGCTTTACTATAAATTTTCCATCTATAGATTTTAAAGTGTCAGTCAAAGCAAAAATAAGATACCAGTTCATAATTAAAAGCCATTTTTGCTTATTTTCATATTCAATCTTTTTTTTTCTTCTTCTCTGAAATGACATATTTAAGTAATAAATTAGCATTATAGAAAGCCTGCTTGAAATCTCACTCCTGACTTCGTCAAGTTATGCTGAAAATTGCTATTCTCATTGACCGCCAAAGTTAATCTATGAGTACTTAGATGGGGGACTGCTTGGGAACACCAGGTACTATAAGCTACCTCTTATAATCTGAAATGTTTCAGCTTTAAATAACCCACAAAAAGTTGATATGCTGTAAAAAAAAAAAAAAAAAAATTCAATCAACCAGTCTCTCATTCTTATGCATACACTGATGGAATAGTAGTATGTAAGTGTAATGGTAGGTGGTGCCACCATATCTTCATATCATGGGAATGACACACACACACACATACATACATACATATATATATATATATATATATATATATCAGTTGTGCTCTACTGAGTGTAATCACTGGTCATATTACTCATGTTAAGATGATGTGAAGTATCAAAATTTGGACAGAGTATGATGATGCCAGACTGATGGTATATGCCATTTCTGAAATTGTGGAAGCATCCCTCAATCTAAAGTGGTACTGATGAAAGGCATTATCTCCTACCATCGACAGCATGGTGGCTGATTACAGGTTCTTAATCATGACCAAATGTGGTATCTGTAGTAACAGGGAAGTGACAATGGCTTAAATCCTGTCCCCATTCAGTGCATATATTTTCAGTATTCTTTAACATCCATTGGATATGGGAACACAAAGACCCACTAGAGTGCTTCCTGCTAACACCACAACATTGGATACAGTGATTCATCTGATCTTCTGATGTCACTAACTGGACCCTGAAGGACTGGCATGTGTTGTGTGGTTTAATAAGTCTCAGTTACAGTGGTTTCAGGCTGATGGTATGGTTTAGGTGTGATGTTGACCCAAAGAGACCATGGATACAATTTGTCACCAAGGCATGTGCAAGCTGGTGATTGTTCCATAATGTTGGGGGGGGGTCTTGTAGCATTTGTTGTGTTTTGTAAATGGCACAGCCACTCGAATCAGAGGATGCCAGTCTACTAGGGCAATTAGCTAATTTCCACAGGCACATTTGTGTTTGTTCAACACCCACAGACCGCACCAGTGGAATGTTATCTAGTGTGATCAACAGTCTGAACAAGGCTAGCACTGTCAAACCTTCAGTCTCAAGAATTTGTGACAGCACAACCACTGATGGCTCCCATGGATTCCGTCTACTCAATTTCACTCTGTGGTATGATTTTCAGGCACTTTCCAAACATACTGCACGCTGGGATTGTCTTCTCCAGATTGATAACATCAAGATGTCCCCCTTCCTGATAAATCAACCATGGTGAGATTTGAACCTGGGTCTCATGGCCAGAAAGCAAACATTCTAACCACTCAGCAACACACCCAGTGTTGGGTTCTACTGCCTAAACACATCATTAACCTTAACAAAAATTGTTAGCAAAATACCTTTGAAATGCTAGGAATTGAAAAATAAAGAAATTTATAATCCAACTTGAATTAAATATAAATTGTAAAACCCTTTCCTCAAATCATTATAACAAGAGTTCCTCTGTCAGTCAGGAGCCACATTGTTTGTATGAGTTCCTCTGGTCCTGCCAGTCTCTCTCTCTCACAGCTCTCTCATTTCTTTTCTCATTTCTCTCTCTCTTTCTCTTCTCACACTTTCTCTCTCTCACTTTCTCTCTCTCACTTTCTCTCTCTCAATCTCACACTCCTCTCCACAATGAAAAAACTCTCTCTCACCTCTCTCTCTCACTTTCTCTCTCTCTCTCTCTCACACTTTCTCTCTCTCCACTTTCTCTCTCTCACTTTCTCTCTCTCTCTCTCTCACACTTTCTCTCTCTCTCACACTTTCTCTCTCTCTCTCTCTCTCACACTTTCTCTCTCTCTTTCTCTCTCTCTCTCACTTTCTCTCTCTCTTTCTCTCTCTCACACTTTCTCTCTCTCTCTCACTTTCTCTCACACACACTTTCTCTCTTTCACTTTCTCTCTCTCACTTTCTCTCTCTCTCTCACACTTTCTCTCTCTCTCTCTCTCTCTTCTCTCTCTCACTTTCTCTCTCTTTCTCTCTCTTTCTCTCTCTTTTCTCTCTCTCTCTCTCACACTTTTCTCTCTCACTTTCTCTCTCTCTTTCTCTCTCTTTTCTCTCTCTCTCTCTCTCTCTTTCTCTCACACTTTCTCTCTCTCCACTTTCTCTCTCTCCACTTTCTCTCACACTTTCTCTCTCTCACTTTCTCTCTCTCCACTTTCTCTCTCTCACACTTTCTCTCTCTCCACTTTCTCTCTCTTTCTCTCTCTCACACTTTCTCTCTCTCACTCTCTCTTCTCTCTCTCACTTTTCTCTCTCTCTCTCTCTCTCACACTTTCTCTCTCTCTCTCTCTCACACTCTCTCTCTTTCTCTCTCTCACTTTCTCTCTCTCACACTTTCTCTCTCTCACACTTTCTCTCTCTCACACTTTCTCTCTCTCACACTTTCTCTCTCTCACACTTTCTCTCTCTCACACTTTCTCTCTCTTTCTCTCTCTCTTTCTCTCTCTCTCTCTCTCTCTCTCTCCCCACACTTTCTCTCTCTCTTTCTCTCTCTCTCTTTCTCTCTCTCTTTCTCTCTCTCACACTTTCTCTCTCTCTTTCTCTCTCTCACACACTCTTCTCTCTCTCACACCTTTCTCTCTCTCTCTCTCTCTCCCCACTTTCTCTCTCTCACCTTTCTCTTTTCTCTCTCACACTTTCTCTCTCTCTTTCTCTCTCTTTTCTCTCTCTCCTCTCTCTCACTTTTCTCTCTCTCTCACTCTCTCTCTCTCTCTCTCTCTCTCTTTCTCTCTCTCACCTTTCTCTCTCTCACACTTTCTCTCTCTCTCTCTCTCTCTCACACTTTCTCTCTCTCACACTTTCTCTCTCTCACACTTTCTCTCTCTCACACTTTCTCTCTCTCACACTTTCTCTCTCTCACACTTTCTCTCTCTCACACTTTCTCTCTCTCACACTTTCTCTCTCTCACACTTTCTCTCTCTCTCTCTCACTTTCTCTCTCTCTCACACTCTCTCTCTCTCTCACTCTCTTTCTCTCTCTCTCCACTTTCTCTCTCTCTCTCACACTTTCTCTCTCTTTTTCTCTCTCTCACTTTCTCCCTCTCACACTTTCTCTCTCTCTTTCTCTCTCCTTTCTCTCTCACACTCTCTCTCTCACTTTCTCTCTCACAAATCTCTCTTCTCTCTCTCTCCACACTTTCTCTCTCACTTTCTCTCTCTCACTTCTCTCTCTCTCTCACTTTCTCTCTCTCCACTTTCTCTCTCTCACTTTCTCTCTCTCTATATATATATATATATATATATATATATATATATATATATATATATATATATATATAAAAATTGTTTTTGCTACCAAAAGTTGTGCTATTTTTTTTTTTGTGTTAATATAATTATTGTACAGAATGTCTTTTTGCCAGATATTAAAAACTGCTTTCTTTTATTTTTTAGAGCAAGTTAATCAAGCTCTTCAGTAAGCAGCTGGTCATCAAAGCAAAGCTCGAAGATGACCAGCGCCTGGCCGAGTTTCCCAAGATCGAGAAGTGGCTCAACATCTTTGGTATCAATGAGGAAGCAATTTCGGTAAGTTTTTATTTCCAAAAATTCCTTTAACACATTGCAGAAACAATAAAATAATAATAATTAATGTAGGTGTTTGTATGATTTTCCTGACATCCTATTTCCTTGAGACATCTTAAAAACTTGCTGTTTGTCCATGTGAAGGCTCCTTGCTCTCAGATATTAAACTTTACCCCACCACAGGAAACAATAGTCACCATAGAATTCCTTACTACTATCAGCAACTTCTGTTGCCTTAGACGGTTGTTATAAATAAACACTTGTCAACTATTATTTCTGGTATTTTAATCTGGAAATCACCTACTACTGCTTTGGAACAAGGGTAAACTTTTCCAACGCCATCTAGACTCTACATGAGGTGTAACACCAATTAAACCCACATTAATTTTTTCACAATTCTTTTGTAAACAAAAATGGCCACATCAATATCCAACAAAGCCTTTATTCAGGAGTGTTTCTTTGATTAACACTCCAATGATTTTGAAGGCTTTACTCGAATGGATATTGATGGTGAAGTGGTTGGAGATGATAACCACACTAGTGATGTGGAGGAAAGCTATGATGACCACTAGTGGCTACTATCAATCCATGCCTGAGTAATTTTATGGAAGCTATTGGCGACCATCAATATATCTCATAGCCTTTGTGAAGGTGAATTATTTTGTCTATTTATAAACAACAAAATAATAACTTTATTCGTCAATGAGACAAATAAATATGAGTCAGGAGAAAGAAAGAACAAATAAATGCTAATGTCTTCTTGTATGTAAACACAAGGAGACACATCGCATTTTTGACAAGATGAAAGCCTTTTTAGCGATTTTTGCTTCTTATTACAACCCCAGATCTCCACAAGGAGTAATAAAAGTTAAAGTACGTTGAATTATTTATGTATTTTTTAATGTATTTTGTGTTTTTTCAATTTCGCGTTTCAATTTTTTTGTTTTTAACGTTAAAACATGCGTGCAAAACGTAATGCATTACATCAAAATATTACTCATTTATTCTTTTATTAGTGTACAAAAATTAAAATCTATGTGCACAAGACAGTTATAACAATTTTAAAACAGTAGGTGTTCCTGTTTTTGCACCCTCAAAAAAATGCAGTGGCAGGGAGAACAATTCTAGAAAGTAATTAGTGTGGTAATGGTTAATTAAACTTTATATCTTTGGTTTGCTGATCTTCTGATAAGACTAATTTTGATTTTTAAATAATGACAATTCAAAAGTTAATTTATTTACCTTGGCACTAATTTAAAACTGAAGTCTCATATTGTTAGCTTACAGAAATAGTGTTATTAGTAAGCTACTAATTTGTGCCAGACTCAGCTATGTTATGGGGGAACTACTGAGACCAATTTCTAAGGATTTTAATAACTGTATAATTTCTGTCAATGTACTATAGAAATAAGAACAAGAATAGTGTTTGCTGCTTAGTCTCAGTAGTATAAATTTTGTTCAGTCATAGTTATTACAGTTGAGGTTTATGGAATACATGAGGAAGGGGTGCTTGGAAAATTTGATACTTACAGGACAGATTGAAGGTAAGAGACAGAGGAAAGTGACACAATCTACCTGGCAAGCTTGAGTTGAATGGATGACAGAGTAGGGTATGGGAGAGATGGCAAAAAGACAAAAGTTATTAAGGGCTACAAGGGACAGGAAATTGTGGAGAGCCATGATCGCCAACATCCTGAAGGGACATGGCACATAGAAGAAGAATGGTTATTGACATTTATGAAACTTTGAGCTGTTAAAAATTTCTCTATCTGACCAATAAAGGATTGCCTGTGATCTGTGAAATGTACGTGCTATTCTTAATAGTTTAGTATGAAGAAGATGAAAATTACTGTCAAAAAAGAAAAAGGTAGTAAAGGTGGTGTACATCCACTTAAAAAAACAGCTTTTTATTAATCTTTATCAAAGAGGATCATTGACAAATTTAAAAGATGAAATGATAAAAATGAAATTACCAAGAAGAATGATGCAAAACGTTCTAAAGGTAATCCTTATCAGTCATCTCTTCCAAAAAAGAAATACTGATACTAGGTCGACTTACATAATACCAGGTAATCTCAGGGAACAGAGAAAATCTTTCCCTCTACAAAATTATGACTGTCTAGAAATAAAGTTTGAAGATTCTTCATGTGGAAAGATGACTGTGCAATACTTAAAATTTTGAAATAACGGTTTGAAAGAGTGTTGGCACAGACTGGATTATCAAACTTATGCGCAAATACCCTTAGGAAAGGGATAAATTCCTCTCCTCCCTCCAGCTGTTGGTTAAATAGTTAGACTTGTATCTGGAAAAAAATCATTGTTGTTATCAAAAAATCTTCATGCAAAAAAAAAAAAAAAAAATGTTTTCGCTTTAAATAACCCACAAAGGGTTGATAAACCATGAAAAACAAATAGGTTAATCAATACTGGACTGTCAATAAGATGATATTTGTCCTGTGATTCAATTCACTTGACATATGGTTTCTCAAATTTTTTTAACCTTTCTAAAAAAAAAAAAAAAAACAACATCTTGTTGAAATACTACCCTTCTGTTATCACTTGAATCCTTTTAAAATTTCCACCTTCTCAGGTGTCTTTTAAGTATTCAGACAGAGCAACTAAGTAAGGTGGATGATCCTGACATTCAAGCCCTAAATTCTTTTAAGACACTCACCTCAGCTTGCCAGCCCTGTGATCCAGTCCATTGTCCTGTCAAATAAAAAAAAAAAAATATATACAGCATTCTGCAGATTCAATCACCTTGTTGAAGATTGTTGAAGACATGGTCATATTGAAGTTCAGATCAGGAAGTAATCACTATAATATTGTAAATCTTACTTGAGAGGATGAAGTCCAAGAGTTCTACAGATTATTGATTGCATTGTTTTCTTTTTTGTTTTTTTACCACAACAAAGACTGGGGTGGAAGAAGGAACTCTCTCTTTCTCTCGCTCCCCAACTCTCTCTTTCTCTCGCTCCCCAACTCTCTCTTTCTCTCGCTCCCCAACTCTCTCTTTCTCTCGCTCCCCAACTCTCTCTTTCTCTCGCTCCCCAACTCTCTCTTTCTCTCGCTCCCCAACTCTCTCTTTCTCTCGCTCCCCAACTCTCTCTTTCTCTCGCTCCCCAACTCTCTCTTTCTCTCGCTCCTCACCTATCTTTTCCCACTCTCTCCCTTTTCTCCCATCATCATTGTGAAAAGGACCACTTACATCCTCCTATCCACCTAGGTTGTTTTAGGTGGAAGTATATTTAAGATCAGTATACATTATAGCCTATGGTCAACAAATTGTTCCAACTCTTCATTCTTCTTCTGCTTATGGGGGACACTTAGCCAACTATTCACTGGTTACAAGTAAACAAATATTTTAAAGTATAACCCAGGCACTGTTTTAAAAGGAATACCAAAAAGAATTTATGTGGCATGACAGATTTGGCAATAATAAATTCAAAAATGTATTTATTCATGTGAGGAAACAATATATTTATTGATAAAATAAATCTGTGTATCTTTCTTGGTTTTACTGACTTTCCTTAAATTATGATTGTTGACAATTAAACATCCTCTTTAGACTGCTTCAGTTAGTAGGATGTTTAATTGACAAAATAGGATGTTCAAATTTAAAATAATCTATATTGGTTGAAATTTGATAGCAACAAAAAAAACAATGTGATCAAGTGGAAAGATAATGACTAATCTCAAAATTACAGAAGAGAAATTCAGTAATGTGCTGGTTTCAAAAGCTCTTGGAATTAAATTTTTGCTGAACCTTTTAGAAATACAGCATGCTAAAGTTGGCTTATTCTCACAAACACCATCCTAAATGCTCTTCTTCCTTAAACAAAAATCTTCTATTTGTCTTTCAATATATCCTTCTATACAAAACAAGAAAATGCATACTCTCGGGTACCTACAAAATTTTTTTTTGTTTTTGTTTTGTTTGTTTTTGTTGTTTGTATTGTTTGTTAGTTGTTTTGTTGGTTGTTGTTTGGTTTTTGTTTTTTTTTGTTTTTTCATTTTGTCTGTTTTGTTTGTTTTTTGCTTTGTTTTTCATTTTTTGCTTTTTCGTTTTTACTTTGTTATTTGTTTTGTTTTTTCATTTTGTGGTTGATTATATTTGGGGGATTTAAAAAAAAAACAGTAAAAATTGGTAGAATATTTTACTTAGTAGTTAAAATGTATGAAAATTAACAAAAATCTTCTAGTTATCTTTGTATGTATCATTCTAGACAAATTGAGAAAATGCATACTCTCAGGTACCTACAAAATTTGTTTACAAAAATTTTCCAATTCAATGTTTATTAAGCTTACGCTTTTTGACATTTTAAAGACTTTTCCAACCTTATTACCCACCCAAGAGGTATAAAATGTGTCATTTTGGTTTCAACTCATTTTTCAGCTGTTTTTTGTTAAGCTTGGGTGTGTGGGTGGTGTAATGGATAATGCTTCAGAATTGTTAATTGGAGATCCAAGTTCCAATTACAGTTGGGTTCATTACATTTACTTACACACAATTACCCTCAGGAAAGGTATGAATCCACCCCTTCTCCCCACAGTTATGGGTTAATTAATAAGACTTCTATCACAAAATCATTATCTCAAAAAATAAAACTACAATCTAAAAATATTTTCTGGTTTTAAATAACCTGCAAAGGGGTTGATAAGCCATAGAATATTAATTTATCTTAAGATTTTATTTTTCTAATGAGATACTCTTTATGAATGTAATGGATCTGATCTTCTAAAGATCATATCTGTATTTATGTAATAAATGAATTCAAAAAAGCATTTTTTTTTTTTTATTTTTTTTTTACTTTAAATCCTGTATCATATAGTTACCTTGTTCATATTGTTAACCTTTTGATAGGTGATTGTGAATAAAGGCATTTTGCTGACCTCCCTCCTAACTATGACAGAGGAGCAGGTTCGTGCTCTCTTTGATGATACCAGTGCTGAAGAAGAAGCCATTCAGGAACTAACTACAGCCTTAAGGAATTTGAATGCTTGGACTGGTAAGTTTTTTTTATTTTTTTTTCCTTTTCTCATTGTGGCATCTCTGTAAATAACCATCTGGAGGTAAATTTATCTGAATTGCTCTTCAGAAAGAAAAAAGAAGTGCTTGTTGAATAAATGTGCATTTTTAAGTAGAATTGACAAAACTCTCAATAACAACAATAATAAAAATAAGAACAGAGCAAAATAATGCAAGAAATGAATAATGTGAGGCAAAGCAAAGCAATTATAAGACAATAGCCAAATAAAATTAAACAAAATAGAAGCAAGCTTCATAAACAAATGAGATACAGTCAAGTGGTTATAGACTTTTGATTTTAAGGCAAGAAAGAAAAAAAAAATATGTGGTTAAGACAAATTAACTACTAGCTTAAAAGCCGTCCTATTGGGTGGCATTTAAGCTCCTTCCTGCAGAGGGCTCTTGATTAGGCCTTCATCACAATAGATAGGGAAGAGTAGATGCGATAAGCAACAATAAAATACAGAAGAACTCAAAATTAATCGCTGCATTTAAGAATTGCATTAATATTTAAGTTCACCTTTTAAAAGTTCAACAATAATTCTTCTGCCGCCACTTAAAGACAATTTTGATTATTTCCAAGTTGTGAAACTTTATCGTACAAAACAATTTTTCACAAAAAATCATGTAAATAAAAATAAAAATCTCTGAAAACAATCACAGTAATGAAAACTTGGGAATCCAAAATTTCAGGATTGCAGAATGTCTTTAATTTGCTCACAGTCTGCCTGATTCCAAAATGGTATGATATGCTGGGCTATGGCCTCTAGGAGTCAAGTTGAAAAAGTTTAACACGGTTACACACTGACATTCGCATTTATTATATAGAAGAAGAAATCCAAGCAATAATAAAAAACAATAAGAACAGAGCAAAATAATGCAAGAAATGAATCATGTGAGGCAAAGCAATGTAACTATAAGACAATAACAAAGTAAGATTAAACAAACATAGAAATTGTGTTTATATGCAAACTGGATACAGTCAAGCAGTTATAGCATTCTGACTTCAGTGAAGAATGTGTGGATAAAACCAAGAATTACCCATTTTTATTGACTCAGAAGAAATCCCAGCATGCTTTAGCAGACATTCTCAGATTTGAACCAGCAAAATTTTATTTTATTTTTAATCACTTCAAACAAGACAATAATGCCTCTAAGATGCATCAAGGTACTGGGAGTGAAAAAGAATGAAAAAAACATTAAAAGGAATCAGAAAACAAGGGATAGACCTCTATTCCTGTTCAAAAGACCTGGGAGTGTGAACCAGAAGATAAATGGACCTATCTACTCCTATTGAGGAGAAAAAAAAAAGATAGTAAATATAATTTCCAAGTTTAGTCAGAGATGTTAGAAGTATAGTTGAAGTAGATTTTAGAAGGAAACAGGAAACAAGGGATAAACATTTACTCCTGTTCAAAAGTTATAGTCACCCTTTAATAATTTATAGGCATTTCTATATTTCATTGTTTTCAGAACATCTCAAGTTAACTCCTTTGTAAAATAACTTGATTTGGTACTAATTAAAAAGTAATGTAACATCTTTCTATGTTTTAGAGCAAGAATGAATTATTTTTAACTTTGCATCTTCAAGAGCACAAATTTTGCAAGAATCAAGATTACAATTTTAGCTGTTTTTTTTTTATCTATATGTGCAGTTTTTATTGCTACTATAAAGCATAAGAAATGTATTTTCTACTTGCTGATGAGGATATATGTATTTGCAACATATTTCTTTTACAGTACACTGCCATAAGTTTGCCTCTCTATGTCTGTTCTATAAATACTTTCATGATAATTGTTCAGATGAGCTCTTCACTATGATATCGAGACTTCATGAATTTAAGCGCAGTACAAGACTGGCACCAAGATGTTATCAATTTACAATCAAGCTAGTTAGATATAATCATAAATTCTATGCTAACAGTTTCTTTTCTCAGTTTTCACTTGTGGAACTTCCTTCCAGCTCAATGTTTTCCAGCTAACTTTAATCAGCAAAAATTTAAATGCAATGTCAATTGCTATCTACTGTCCATCTGATTACTCTTTTCTTTCGGCTCATTATTAATGTTTCTGTTCCTAATTCTTCCACACCCTGTAACCCATTGTGTTTTAGTAGCTTTACTGCCTGGCATAGAGTGATAATGATTTAATAATAATATATATATATATATATATATATATATATATATATATATATATATATATATAAGTGAACATAGAAGTCAACATTTAGGCGACAGTCTGTTTCATGCTAGGCATAATCGTCAGGCCCTAACGATTGCACCTAGCATGAAACAGACTGTTCACTTCTATACTTATTACGCTCTCTCTGAGACCTTAAGACTATATTTCTTTATATATATATATATATATATATATATATATATATATATATATATATATATATGAAATAAAGAACAAAGTAGGAAACAAATCTCAATCTAACATGTTTCACCATTATTAAGTCTTCATCAGAGATTGAGAATAGAGATGAAAAAGCAGACACACAGTACTGGAATGTTATGATTTTTGGTAGTTCTCATTGGTCAGACACGCACCATGTGTATAAATGCAATATATAAATATATGTGAGGAACATTTAAGATGTTAAAGTGTGTGATAGTGTAAGAGTATGTAAGTAAAGAAACGCTTGTGTGTGTAGGTGTATGTAGGGCGCTAATGTCAATTCATGTAAGTGTTTGTGTGTATTTGAGGGAAGTCTACAGATGTCATCCTCGTATTGTGTCAGTGAAATGTAGCGATATGTTGCAAAATAATTTTGTATTTGGTTGGATTTTTATGTTCTTGGGTGGGGGGGGTCTGTGGTTGTTAACTCTGTGTGGATTGGTGAAACAAAGTAAGATATTGTAATAATCTAGTTTTCTAAGTAGACAATAGGCTTGAAACACAAATTCTTTTATGCTCATTGAAGTTGAGCAATTTCAGGCCAGGTCAGTACCTAGCTGGACAATCACTTGAAGAATACCAGGTACTGTTAGCTTGAATGTGTGGGTGGTGTAATAGATAATGGCTTGGAATTAAAAAAGCAGAGTCCCAATTCCAGTTGCATTTGTTATATTCACTTATGCACAAGTACCCTTGGGAAAGGTATGAATCCATAAACTCCACCTATGGGTTAATTAGTACAACTTGTATCAATAAATCATTATCTTTGAAAAATTCTTACGATATAAAAATATTTTCTGGTTTTAAATAACCTGCAAATGGTTGATAACCCATAAAATAAAATTAAAAAAAAAACAATTTAAATATAAATGAGGGGATTTTAATGAAAGGTGAGGTTTCAAGAAATGGGCAAAAATTCGTAGCTAATAAACAAAGTACAGTGGAACCTCGGTTCACAAATTTAATTCGTTCCTGAAGGCGGTTTGTAAGCTGAAATCTTCATAAACTAAAACTATTTTCCCAATAGGAATCAAGAAAAAGTCACAGTGCAATATAATAGTAAAAGAAAAGCATGCCACAACACATGAATGTATACAACATGATGGTCAACTCAGAAATTATTCCGTTCAGGTTAACTCAGTTTGGCAATGTTGTTCAAGAATCAAGACATTTTCATCTCGAATTTTTTGTTCAAAATCGATTTGTTCAACATGTGAGACGTTCAAGAACCAAGGTTGCACTGTAGTCTTAATATGCTGAGAAGGGTCCGAAAATGTCCTAAAAAAAAAAAACAGAAAAAGTATATATAAAAAAAAAAACAAAAAAAAAACAAGTAAATGTTTACCTCCCCTCCATCTATTAGTCTTGTTAACCATAAACAAGTAAATTGTAAATGATATTTACCAATCACCACACCGAATATTTGCTTACAGACCCAAATATAAATGATCAATGTTTGTCTATCCCCAAAACAGCTCCCTTGTTGATGGGACCTAGAATCAGCTGAGGGCATACATCTCGACAAAAGGGGCTCCCTAACTAGCAAATGCTTATATACTCAAAAGATTAACTTAACAGGTGTTTATTTTAATCATCCAATCAAATAAACTCTGAATTTGCATGATTGTTATATTGTGCTTTATCTGCTTTTTATCAGATTGAAGTTGTTTTGAGACCCAATGGACTGAAAATTGTCCCTTAATGTTTGTTGTGGATATCCCCACCTCTGTTTTTTTTGTTGATCTGTTATTGATTTTTCTCAATGCCTTCCAATATATAGTGTCCATAACAAAACTTCTTAGATGGGAGTCCTCTTTCAGACTTTGTCTGCTTTATTAAAATTGAATTGCCCACATTTGAATTATATTGCAGGAAGGAATTCTACTTAGTGTCATCATAATGTCTTTAACCGTTAATTTTTTTGAGTTTCTAAAACACATAACATATATAGTGTGTCATAGTGAAGGATCTTGCATGTCATAAGGAACCCAAATGCAATGCCATCAGGAGCTTCATTTCCTGGTAGGATCACCCAGGGTGGTAAAGATTTAGGGAAGGGATCAGACTAAGCACGATCTGATGCCTACTTGATAGGCAGTCAAGGTGACATTCTCTGTATGAGAACAAATCTGCAGCCTGATGCAAGCTGTCATCATGAACCTCCCTGTGAAGCCCTGATTTGCCGCAGTGGATAGTGTCCGTTGATGTGTGTGTGTGTCTTGGAGTAACAATTCATGGGCCATCTCAAACAATTCAGTCAAGTCTTCCATGCTCAAAACTTTTCTTCTCACTGAAGAACCAATTGGAGAAGAGGTGTCCCTGAAAAAAGCATCATCCTTCAAAAACACCAAAAGACAGATAGAAGAGATGAATAGAGCCCAAAGAAAAGTTAGAGCTCTCTATCCCTCGAGCACTTCTACACTACCATGTGATAGCTGCGGACATCTCTTCAGATCCAATATAGGATTCATTGCACACAGAAGGAAATGACAATGAGCACTCTAATACTTGGCAATTAGTACCAATGATGATGAATGTCTTTGTGAATCTCTTTAGATAAGCCTTGTATATTGA